CTCGGTCCCCCACCTCAGCCACCAGCAGCTCAGACACCAACAGCCCTTCCCTCCTCCGCCCTCCAGTGAGTTCGGGTTTTTACCCCGGCATCGGGCAGCCGGCGACCGACCAACCCTCCTCCTCCTTCCCGTTCGCCTTCGTCTTACTCCCCTTGGATCTCCTCGCATTCTCAAAAAGCACGAGCGCGTCCTGGAGCCGCGACCGAGGTAGGTTCATTCAGTTTTACTATTATTACGCATACCGTCACGCGTGCGACTCGTTTCAGCGCCGGAGAATGCAATCCCGGAGCCCGATTCCGCGCCCGGTCGGGGCGTCGGCTTAATGGAGTCCCCTCGGATGTACGAGAGAACGGAAACCGATGAGATGAGTAAATGAATGGCGTTGAAGGACCCTATTGCACATCCATCCGCGCTCTTCTCGAGGATCCGCTTCCCGCGGAAATGCGAAAAGCAACGCGTGCCACATTGAAAAATGAGTTCGGTTGAAGCTACTTGGCAATGGGCAACGAAACGTGTTTTGATTGAGGGGAACAGATTTCCCGGTTATAAGAACCAAATTCGGTTCGTGAGAACTAGACACTTAGGTCCATATTAATAGTTGTTACTTGCAATTTGTTTCAGGTAAGATACTCAGATTTGAATTCAGAATTAGATGTGAGTTTTTCAATTGAATAATGTTTACAGATGTAATATCAAATATAACGTACGATTCAACTGAAAAGCTCAGATTTAACTTTGAATTAATCCTCGAATAATAAAATTTATATAGATTCATCGGATCCGAACCATATAAATATTTTGTAGTTTTTTCAACGAATTTTTTCGACTAGACACTTTTCCCATGATAACTTAGAAAATATTTAAAAATAAGTAAAATACATCGCAAAATATCCGGTGAATCCCGAAAATATAATGTTTCAGAAAAGTGGAAACATTAGAATATGGATCCGGTCGGATCCGACCCAATCTTGTTATTCGAAGATTAAAATCTGAATATCTCGCATGAGACGAGTTTCAAGTGACCACTATTAATTAGTTTCCTTCAATTAAAACACATTTGGTTATCTATAGTGAGGCAGATCCAACAAAACTCACTTTTCAATACAGTTTTCGCATAATTCTCGTCGCTCGCAGTGTGGTTGTTCTGAATGGTTGCTTCTCGCAACGTTAATTTACCGACGAGAATAAATAAAAAAAAATCACGAAATAAATAAAATATAAAATATAAAATTAATAAATCCGGTCAATTTATCGATCCCATTCGCGGCAATGCGGGAAGGCCGGCGGCTTCGACTAATTAGAAATAAAGCGCGCCACCGACAGCGCGATCGACACTTTCTATCGACGCTCTTTTCGTCGCTCCTTATCGTCCTTTGAATCTTTCGCATGGCTCCTTTCGTCGGACGAAGAGGAGAGCGATCCTTGTCTCCGGCGCTGCGATCTGATAGAGGCGACGAAAACATTTAGAGGTTATAAGAGCCCCTGGAACGATAAAATCGGGGCAGCCAGGCGGGCGGAACGACACGCGGCGTGTCGTGCACGAACACACGCGCGTGGCATCCCTGATGGGATGCTCCATTTCGTCGGCCGCTCCGTACGCGGAGGCGCTCGATTGTCATCCCCGCGACCGCGGTGCATTTCGTATTCTTGATGAAGCGCAAGATGGATACAAGCGCTGATATATATACGCGGAGATTGTGCCCCGCGCTGCATCCCGCTCGAGAATCCCGAGCAGCCGCCACGTTGCACTTTCCGTCACTTTCTGGAACTCGCGGTAGCGCGGACAGCGCGTGAACTCTCGCGTTATTTTAATCACTTGATTTAATTACAGTAGGAAGTTCACACGCAACACACACATACTATAGTTTTAAAGTTTTAGAAGAAATCCGTTTTTTTTATGTGATGAAAATGACAAAAAGTGTTAAAACCGATATTTCCAGCTGTCAGTCGTAAATATTTGCCAGAAATCGTGCAGCTCGTGCATACTGAATGTGTCAATGCTCCAATCAGGGAAGTTGCAAAGAACATTTTTATATGTTTTTAATGAAATTTAGAAATTTAAAAAGACGCGAAGAACTTGCAGAAAAAGTTTGATATATCTTAATTAGATTTCTCGTTAGATATGATAAAACAAAATGGCGCACATTTGTTGCATTCACATTTATATAGCGCTTACGTTTACATAAGATCTACTACGTGCGAGAAATACGAGAAAAATAACGCGGTCGTGTCAGTATTATATAACATACATTTTAATGATCGCTTCTACGTTATCGACGCTTATCAAGTTCGCCATCGGTTCTGGCATCCCTTTAAGTCAAAGTTCGCTCTCAAAGGAAACTCTTCCGGAAAAAATCGCGATATCGTCGAGTTGATCGGAGAAAAACTTTCGATAAAGATCAGGAGCTCGTCTTTCAATCTACAAGATCCTCCCACCCCTCGAGCGATTCCCGGTGAAAAGAAAAGACGCGCGCGCGTGCACGTAAATCTACTAATTTATCGTTTTTGCGATCCGGCCAAAGGTGGCCTGTTCTACTCGCCATCGTCGTTGTCCACACCGTGATCGAGAAGTAGCCCGCAGGAATGGTTGGAATCCTTGCTGGCTGAACCT